TTTGGTTGAAATTTGAGATTAATGCAATTACTGCAAATATATTCAAAATTTAATAAGTTATTTGAAAAATTAGATAAAAATCATGATAAAAAAATAAGTTTTGAAGAATTTAAAGAAGGTAATTTTAATTTTCGGTAAACATTAAAAAATTGATAATTATAGGTCACAAAATTATTGGAATGAAGTCTACAAACAACGAAAAATTGAAGCAAGAATACAAAATAATTGATGAAGATAACAGTGGATACATACAGTTTGACGAGGTACACTAAAAACAATTTTAAAAAATGTAACACCCTTTTTTTCAGCTTTGTTTATATTTGGCAAAGAAGTATTATGTTGAAGCCCAAATATCCCTTTAAGCTATGTGTTTTATCACATATCAAATCGACAGCAGTGTTCGTGTATAATTCATATATTTAAGTAAGAGCAGTTGTAAATAGTTTATTTTTAAGAAATGAATTAATAACAATTCAAAGGAAATGTTATTTTGTATTTTCTTAAACCACAGTGTCCAATTGCATCTAACATTAGAATCATCCATATTAGTTTAGATTTGGTTTCATATCATGCGCAAATTTAAATTCTTTTAACATTATAACCTTTGGAAAGAATTTGAAATTCCAATTCGTTTCCAAGGTTACACAAGTATTTAAAAAAAATTATGCACCAAGTGTGGTATAATGGAACAATTGAAAATGGTGTACTTCACTCAAGAGACAATAAATTGCCTTTCTTAGTGTTCATAACAGGTATTTATATGGATTTTTTGTTCAAGTTTACATTTAGTTTCCAGTTTTTATAGTCCATTTAACTTATTTTTGTTTTTATTTTTTTAGTAAGTGATGAAATTTCCAGAAAATTTGAAGTTGACATTGAAAATTCGTTATTGAAATTTGACAAATTTATCGCAATTATGATTAATAAAGAGTCAGAAAGTTTTTTAAATTTTACAGCCATTTGGCCAGTGTTAAAAACGCCTTCTTTGTATTTAATAAAGGATGGTCTAGTTGTCGACATTATAATAAACGATCTTTCTAGCGCAGAGCTGGACATTAGGTTATCCAACTATCTCTTTAGTAACCGAAAATACTCCTTTTTTTAATTCTAACGCATTTTAGAAAAAGTTAGCTCTACAAACGATCTTGAAACTAATCTAGGCTCGTCCTCTAACGATTCGTCTGTAAAAACTCAATCTGCAAAAAGTAAGTTTTCTGAGATAAAAAAAATAAAATATGAAATGAAAAGGTACATTGAACGGGAAGGAAATTCACCAAATTTTAAAATAAGGAAGGATGGTGCGATTAAAAATGAGAGCTCAATCAAACAAAATAATAAAGAAATAAATGATCTGAATTCTGAAAAGGAGCTTGAGAATTTAAGCATTATTAACAAAAATGTTGCGGAAGGAAAAGATTTTGCTGTAAACATTAAGCCCTCCTGTGAATACTGCAATTTAAAAATTAGATTATTTGATGGATCTACTTTAAGTTTAAAGTTTCCAGCCAGAGGTACAGCTGGTTTTTTGAAAACAATATTTAATTTGATTTATAGGTGTACTTGGTGATGCGAAAAGAGAAATTGATAAAACCCTTTTAAGGTTAACTTATACTGATATACTTTATTGTCTTTTTAATGATTTAGTAATGAACCTTATAATATGATTCAACCACTTCCTTACAGGATTTTTACCGCAGCAGGTGGGATAAAATTATAAATTCAATGCTCATTATATATTGATTATAATTGAATACAGATGAATTTAAAACCTTTACTGAATTAGAATTGATACCAAGTTCTTTGATTACATTAAAAAAGGCAAATGAATTTTCAGAAGCCTTTAAAGTTCAAAAAAAGAATACTTTTTTAAAATTTTTTTCTGAAATTGATTTTAGAATTCTTCTTTATGGTATAGCAGGAGTATTCAAAAACAGTTTAAGTTTTTTCACAAATTTAATTTTAAAAAGCAACGCAAAAAAGGAAGAAGAAGAAAGGGATCGATTGAATCAATTAAGAATAAATAGATTAAAAAAAAGTAATCAAACTTTTAACGGCGATTCAACAAATTTGGAGCAGTGATAAGTTCTGATACTGATAAAAAAATTTTTTCTTGGTTTAAAATACATTTTTACACAAATATTAATAAAATCATAAATATGTATTAGGAAATTAGAAACTTTATTTTTATGTTATCTATAAAATTTAAAAAAATTATTTTAATTTTTTTACTGAAATCTGAGTGTATATATAGAATTCATTCCAAACTTATAAGTTAATAACATCTTTTTTGAACTTTTAAAACAGAGGTGGAATCCCACCCTGCATTTGATGACCAAGGCAAGATTGTGCTATAATCTGGTAGTCCCTGCGAGTTTTTGGCAGAGTCCCTGGCAGCCCAAATAGCAGTCATTGGAGAACATTGCAAAACCCAAATTAACTTAGCAAACCAAAAAATAAAGCATTCACGCCCAAAACTCCAAACTGGAGCATCGTTGAAAGTTGTTGTCAGTGTAAAAATGACGTTTGTTAAGCCGTATGGTTTCGAAGTCACTTTTAAGTCCTTAAAGAATTTTAAAATTTATTTGTATCATTAACTAACGAAATTTCTGGTAACTACTGCGTGATTTGTAAACGCTTTATCCCAAGGATATGAATTAAAAAACTCTGGTTTGTTCCAAGAATCAATAGCGTGCCCTTCTGCCTGCCAGTTTCCTGATGGTTTTTCAGCGCATTGCATTACCCAAGCACCTAATAAAAAGAAATATTTCTAATTTAGCATTAGTGTTAAGTTTACGATTTCCAGAAGCGTCTTCAATGAACCAATATAGATAGCAATACCCATCACTTCTTCGCCATATAGGTGCTCCGTTAAATAGAGTACTAGTAACTAATTCATATGTGTAGCTATCATAGCCCTTTACCACAAACAGATCCTGAATATTTTTTTTTAAATACATTTAGATAATGAAAAACTTACATATTTATTACGGCACCTAGATTTTGCATACATAGAGGTAATGTTTTCATTTTTCGCAACAAAATTAACATCACTGATGCTATTTGTTGGGGGAGTCAAGTGTGTTTCTGGTAAGCAATTCTCGGATGTAAGCAAATTTTCAGTGTTAGGTCCGGTAAAGTTGAGGACTTCATTTACAGTCCAGCAAGTGTACAAAGATTTGTTCCCATTATTGCCCAATGAATTGGCGTAATTTCCCCAGTACAAAAAAACATTCTGTTGTAGGATAAATTAAAAAAAATTTTTTTTTTAACAAGTATACCTTAAAATCTTCAGGGGAAGTATATAAACGACCATAATACACTGGTTGGTTGTTTAGTGTCTGATGAGTAAGGTTGAATGTTCCGGATGTTCCTTGATGGGAAGTACTATCTTTTCCATATAAGTAGATTGGCTAAGGAAAAATGAAATTGATTTTAACATTTTATGAATAAATAATTTAGTAATAATTTACCCCCTCTTCTTCTGGAAAAAATTTTTTTATCAAATTTTCATTTTCATTGGTGGTTGAAGAAAAAAGACCAATTTCAAGAGAACAGGAGAAAAAATTCGTTAATAATACTAGTACAATGAGCCTGCGTAACATTTTAGTTTTTAATTTTTTTCTTACTTTTTTACTTATAAATAACTTATTGAATTTTTAAAAATAGAATGGAACATGATTTATTTGTTTATATATTCTAGAAGCAACTAGATTACTAGTGATGCACTACTTTAAAATGAATTATAAGAAGCTTCCATGTAAATAGTTCTACTTATTGTAAATCCATGTCAAATACATTACTCACAACAATAATGTCACAGTTACACTTATCCTAAAAAAGTTATAAAAAATGACCTACAGCGATTTGTAAATTCATCAAATTAGTGTTTTACACAAAGAAGTATGTACTTAAATCCTCATTGGATCAATCCTTGGTAAAAGTAGTTGTATTGAGGAAATGGTGGAAATGGTGGAAAAGCAAGTGCCACCATAAGTTAAATTTTTAACTCAAAAACTAATGGAATAGTTGGGCAAATATTCAAAAAGACAGTGCCAGATTGTACTTTTGTAGACATCATTACCTTATTAAATATGGTAATTAGTTTGGAAACTCTAATTGTTTCAGAAACAACAATTATTGAAGTAGTAAGAAAAAAAAATCAATACTTGAGAGTAGAATATGCTAAAAAACATATGGAAGGTTAGCACAAACTGATTCATGAAACAATTTGGTTGGATGAAACTACAAAGAAAGCGAAAAGGTAAAGACATCCACTTTAGATGTCATTCAATTGTAGCTAAAGAAATTTACCATTAAATTTGCGAAATCAACAGGGTGGATTTGGGGTTATATTCTGCGGATGCTTCTCAGCAATGGTTTAGTTCCACATGAGTTTAGGAGGCAACTAAAACCAATGTACTTACAGAGAAACTCTTCAGGTTTAACTATTACCTGAAATTAGAGCTCTGGTATAGATATGGTGTTTATGCAAGATAATGCCCCAAATCATAAAACAAAATTAATCCCAAAACAAGATTCCATCCCTTGTGTTTACATCCTTATTGTATTAGATTGTATCTTTATCGCATCACAATGGATCTAAAGAATTTTGTCTGTTATTTTTGCTTAAATACAGGAATGATTAGTCTTACAAAATCTTAAGTTATAAATATTATAATGACTTCTTTAATAGACTTATAATTATTATTAATCACCTCTTATAATTATAATAATTATTTAAGGTGATATATTGCATAACACTTATTTGCTACCTTTTTGAAGAGTCATACAATTTTTGTAAATAAAATAACGCATATAAAAATTTCATTGAAGTCATTTCGAGCATTATTAATATTATAGTCTTAATTTGTATAAAATAATATACGAAAAAGCAATAACTTCGACAACAATTTCTCTGCTTAGTGGTTCAGTGATTAGCAATGGTACTATGCTGTTGTGTTCCACTCCCACTGTAAGTCGGAGAAATGATATATCCGAGATCTCCTGTAGCTCAACTGGTGGAGCATCGTACTTATAACCGAAAGGTACGGCTATACTTACAAGCATAGTCACTATGCAATGCGAAGGTCGCGAGTTCGATCCTCGCCAGGAGAACATTTTTTTTCCCTTTCACTACCAATTTCTTTTAGTTCCCTTTCACTACCAATTTCTTTTAGTTCCCTTTCACTACCAATTTCTTTTAGTACTTGTAATGTGCAGATAAAAATTTATTATTTCTATATATATTAGTATATGCTTTCCAATATTTTATGTGATATCATTATAAGTTCAATAATTTTTTATGCAATTTTTTTCATTTTTTAATAAAAAATATTTCATTCTTTTTGCAATAAGCCAAATGATATTGTTGAAAAAATTTTTTTGTATTGCAAAGAAATTTTGCTTTTCATTAACATTTAAAATTTTAAAATACATAACATATTAATCTTAAAGATTCCACATTTCCAGAAGGAGGGAAGTATGGAAGTTTAAGTTGATTTATTATCAATTGAAAAAAAAATAAGCGCAGGTAAAATAATGTAAAAACCAAGTCCTTTCATATCCGCGTAACTACAATATAAAAGTCTAACTTTTAAGATGTTTAGTGGGTCCTTTTTTTTTTCCAAATTCGCTTTGGAAAAAGAGGTTAAATGGCTAGCGACTTTTCATATTTAACTACAAAATTATAATGGAGTTGAGCACCTGCGTTTCAAATTGAAACCGTAAAGTAAAACTTTCGACTAAATTGTTGCTTTTCTTGGATTTTTCAATTAACTTGTCTTTCAAAAGAGAACCTTACTGAAACTTATTCTCGTATTATCGAAACAATTGATGGTTGGTAGGCACGTTGGGTATCGATCGCCAACCCATATGTCCGCTATAATGAATAAAGCTAGTACAGCTAAGTAACTTCTAAAATTTTTTTTCTTAATGAATAATTTTATTTATTATAACGTGTCAAAGTTAAGAAAAAAAAGTACTTTTATTTTTTATTAAGAAAAAGAAAAAAAGGAATTAGTATTATTTAAAATAAAATTTTTCCAAATAGACTATTCAATATCTTCAAGTATTATTTGGATTATTTATGGTTTTGAAAACAAATATTAATAATTTTTGGAAAAAAATGTTTTGAAGTAGTATAAAAAGTAACATACAATAGATGCTATTAAGAAATAAAGATATGCATCACCATTTTCTTCTTCCCATTGAAAATATTTAAGTGGAAATTGAAGAATTTTGAATAGAAACTTTCATGTGGTACACGGAGAAATGAATTTTCCGAGTTAAAAATTTCCCCAAAATGATGGGATTAAATATCAAAACTTATCAAGATGATGTGTTGCGAAAAAATATTTTTTTCAGAGTTTCAGCTGCAACATGAAAGGCAAGCATATTACTACTACATTAGATGCTAATTTAGCTGAAGGTGGTAAGAAAGTTGATAGTGCTGTCAGCATCCCAATCTTCAACAAAGAACAGCTTCACCAATCTACTTCCAACAATTCGAACTCTAATTCTAGGAAATTTGATGATTTAGTTAAAATCATTATTCATTCTATTCGAGGTAAAGAAAAATTGGTGGAAAAAATTAAATTGTCACTTTCCAAGGTGGTGCTAGAAGTTTTTTAATAACTTATGCTATTAGAGCTGGAATACCTTCTTTGATTAAACTTGCGCAATTAATTTTAAAAAAAAAGTAAAATTTTAACCATTTTTGAAGTGTTAACCATGTTTTTTTTTCTTCAGATATTCGATACAGCAATCATTTGAACCATTTTTTAGAAGCGAATCATTGCAATTTGGTGCAATGTTTGGGAGTTTTACATTTCTATGGAGATTAATAAACAATTTTATGATTTGCAAGCGAAAAAAACAGGATTCAGTTAATGGTTTTGTGTCCGGTTTTATTGGCGCTGCAGTTTCTTTAAGTTTTTTAAATTCAAGAGAAATGAAAAAAAGTATATCGCAACAAATGGCGGTGAGAGCTGGTAATCTGTTTCGCTGCTTAATTGTTTCCTAAAACTTTTTTCTTAGGCCAGGCGATTTATAACAGCCTAAAAGCTAAATCATTATTTAGCTTTCCTCACGGCGATTCGATGCTCTTTATGTTGTCATGTGGTATATATTTTAAAACAAGTTATTGGGTTTTCTAAATGTATTTTGAAGCTTCTATTATGTATGGTTATATCATGGCTCCTCAAACAATTCCAAGAGAATACTATTCCTGGATGATTAAAACTGCCAAAATTCCAAAAAATGTATTGGAATATAATAGAGATACTGTCAGAAATATTAAAGACAGCAAGAACATGAATGTTTTATCTGAAAGAGCTATCAGCTTAATAAAGCAATATGGAAAAAGAAACACAACAAACGCAATAGAAATTGCATCAAAAAATTTTCAAGTAAATCCAAATATAGTTTCGTGTGCAGTTTTGCATCCCACGCATTCTAGCTGTACTAAATATAATGCAAGCTTAAGTAAAAAAGGTTCATTTTATTATAAAATATATAGACTAATCTTTTTTTTGAAAAACATAGTTTTTTGTGATATATTTCCGGTAAATTAACTTTTTTTTTTTTATTGACTATTATGATTTAGGTTTATGCTTCGTTAAATATTGTTCCCCTGGTTATTTTTAGAGGAAAAAGTTTTGTGAAAAGGTATGGCCACTTGACACAATTGTATATTAAAAGTTATTTAGTCCAGTTGCATCTCTCGTACGTGCTGTAAAGTCTTCAACGCAGTCTTCATTTTTTTTAGCAGTTTTTGTTGTAGTATATATGTCTTTAATTTGCCTACAAAGAAAGCTGATATTGGGAAACACAGGTAAACAAAAACAATACCTGTAAATTTTTGAGCAAATTATTTTCCTAGTTAAAAATATTTCGAAGAATTTTTTCTTATCCGACAATAAATTATGGTACTACTTGTTTGGGATTATATGTTCTAGTTCTATATTTCTGGAAAAGAAGGGAAGAAGAAGTGAACTCGCGATGTATGTCTTACCAAAGGTAACAATTTAACTTCAACATTTTTGATTATAATACTTTAATAAAGGGTGTTGCTTCTCTATATTTGGTTCTGTTAAATAGAGGTTATTTAATTAAAGTTAAGCACTTTGATACCATCCTTCATTCGTTAGCAATGGGGACGATTATGTCCTTTTATCAAACTGAACCTGAAGCTATTAGTAGCTTGTTATATAAGATAATGAATAAAATTATTGGAAAATATTAATTTTTTATGAAAGATGTAATTAACCACATTTAACAACTGTATTTAAAATTAAAAGCTATTGTTCATAAATTAAGTCGACTGAACGCCTTAAAGTTATTCTAAAAAGTAAAGAAGAAGAAATACAAACTGTTGTTCAAAGTGTATGTTTCTTTTTTCTTCACTTTTCCTTTTTACATAATCAACTTTCTATCATCATCTTCTTTCCAAATTTACTCAGTGCAAATACTTATGTTCTTGATCAAAATGACAATTACAACGCAGTGTTAAATCTGCGTTAGAGGATAAAGAAAACAAACAACTAAATTTTTTTTTTTTAAAAATTTTGGTTAGATCATAAGATCTGCATTAATAGATAAATTTCATAAAAAAAAAATTTTTATTTTTGATTCGCAAATTATCTGTATATGTATTTTACTATCAGTCATAGCCGAAAGTTGTTTTCTACGAAGTTTTTGAAATTTACTGGCCAACAATCCTTCAAAAGTACACAAAAATTTGAAAATGATATACCTAATAAAAACTGAATAATTAATATATTGAAAAATTTCTTTATTGGTTAAGATTAAAAATTTCTTTTATAGGAAATGTTAACCAGTACCAACTTAAAAAAGTTAACCAGAAATTTTTTAACAGCAGAAAAATTATTGCAACAGCTTTATTCGTTCCAGCAGCCGCTTTTATATCTTATGAATACTATAAAAAAGGAAATTTGTTTTTCACTGAAGTTTTGGAAAATTTAAAATTTTTGGGTGATGATAAAGAAGAACCTTCGAACACTGAAAATATTGACCTTTTAGCAGTAGAAAAGGCAGAGAATAAAGCATTTATTGAAAATAATGGTATTTTTTTTTTACACTTGATAAATTTGTTGCATTATATATCTTTGTGCATATAATGTTTTACCCAAATTTACAGATTCTAAAGATCAAGAACTTGAAATCCCTACAAAAGTTTTAGTCAAAGAAATTTGGAGACATTTGTCGCCTCATAAACTTCTTTTATTTTCAATTGTTACCATCACAAGTGCCAGGTAACCATTACCAATTTTTTTTGGTAATTTTTTAAGGTTCATTTTGCCATTAGTGCCTTAATTAACATAGCTACACCAATGCTTATTGGAGAAATCGTGACTGTAGTTCAAACTACGTTAACAGCAGCTTCTCCAACAGAGAGAGATTTCTCTGGTTTAAACAGCGCGGCCATAAAGTTAATGGGATTATTTGCTTCTCAGGTAGGAGAAAAGAAACAAATTTGTAAGATTAAATTGGATTGTATGCCAGGGTTTATTAACTTTCATTGATATTGCTTTGGTTTCGCTATTAAAAGAAAAAATAAACAAGTCTTTAAAACTTGAATTATATGAATCGCTATTAAGGCAGGTAAAAATATATCTTTACCAAAAACTACGCTCTTTAATTAAATTTTTTTCTTAGGATATTTCATTTTTCGATAAAAATATGCAGGGACAAGTTACAAATCGTTTAACTCAGGATGTTTCAGAATTTAAATCTGTCTTCGGTATTTCTTTTTATCTTCAATAGGACATATAATTTTATTTAATTTTGTAGGTTTGGTTATTACGCAAGGATTAAAATGCTTTACCCAAGTTGTAGGTTCAGCTATTCACCTTTTTAAAGTTTCTTCAAAACTCAGCTTCGCATTAATATCAACCATGCCATTGCTCTATGTATTTCTTAACTTTTATGGAATGTACCTTCGAAAACTAAGTCGCTTAGCAAGAATTGGCGATGGAAAAGCCAATGGATTGGCAGGTGAAGCTATTTCTCAAATTAGAACAGTGAGAGCTTTTGCAAATGAAGGTTTTTGTTTTGTTGTAAACCTATATTCTTTGACAGTAATGATTTAGATAAGG